ATATATATATATATGACAGTATATAATTAATAATAAAATAATATGAATTTGTATTCAAAATTATTTTAATGAAATTAAATGTAACAAATAAAATCAAATTGAAATAAAATGAAAAAAATCTTTTTGAAATAATTATAAATCTTCATAATTAAAGTAGTATATAAAGTAGTAGGATATAAGAAAATATTTTATATTAATTTTTATGTTTATTCTGTATTTGTGTATTCAAATTACAAAAAATTAAAATTTTAATCTGTGTGGATATTGACTACTTCTTAAGCCAAACATCGCCGATAAATAGGTAAATAACATTTTTTTCTCCTTGTTTCTTTTGATAGCAGAAATCACAAATTTGTCAACCACTTTTTGATCAGCTTTTCTCTGATCACTGGGTTTATATTCATCTTTTTTTTTACTAAAAATATCACCTTCTTCCTTTTTCGCACGTTTCTCACGTTTTCTCTTAAAATAATCATCATTAATGTGAGAAGGAATTTTCAAACCAGAAATATTAATACGTGTAGAAGTAGCAATTACGTAATTTTGACTAACTCTACGAAGTGGGCAAGCATTGATCAAAAAAGGACCTATATTAAAAAATATTTCATTAGAATTTTAATTCAATAATATAAATAAAAATATAATATAAATAATTTACCTGTGATTAATAACAAACCGCTCTTAAGTTGTTTTAAGAAAACAACACGTTTTCCTTTATGAGCACCAGCAAGTAAAATACAAATTGTTCCTGGTTTCAAAGATGGTCTCAAATAACGACGGTGATCGCGAAAACATTTTTTGGCATGATGTACAGTCACTGGATCTGCAGTAGGATAATTTGCACGCCTTTTCTTTAATAATACAATACGTTTTTCTCCATTTTTGTCACCACTAATTTTTTTTTCAATAGTAATTGGTTTCTTAGGTTTAACCTGATATTAATAATATTATAATTAATTAGTATATTCAATAAAGTATCATATAAAATACAAAATGAATAAAAAATTATATAATAATAACATACACTTTTTGGAGTTTTTTTGCTAAGAAATTTATAAATGGCTTTTTTATGAAACATGCGAGTACGACTAAATCTATAAACACCATTTCCTAAGTCATAGTTCCTTGGTCTAATTCGACCTTTCTTTTCACCTTTTTTAACAGAAGAAACATCTTTCTTCTCAGGAGATTTTAATTTTGTTTCGTTTGTTTCCTTTGTGTCAGTCATCTAAAAAACAAATACAAGTTAATTATAACATAATTACTTATTATTTAAATATACTTATAATTACTTAATATTTAAATTAATTTACTTATTATTTAATATTATTTAAGCAAATATGATTTATTTAAATATTTATTTTAAATAATAAAAAAATATTGTAGTAAAATATATTATATATTTAAGAAGTTTCAATATAACTTTCTTTAACTCTATTTCTATTAATATAATCTCTTATCAAACATATTTATCGTGTTTTATAAAGGTTATGTCATGTTTCTATAACTTTATATTTGAAACATAAAAAATTAATTGATACAAAATTGGAATAAAATTTTTTCAAGATATTGTTAAGACTTTAAAATTAAAAATATATATGACTTTAAAATTAAAAAAATATATATTTTTTCTTTTAAAGTGTCATTTTAATCTCCTCAAACTTAAATTTTTAAAACTTAAATAGTTTCATAAAATATTATAATTAAGAAAAAAATATAATAATTTTATTAAAGAAAACGTTTAAAATACAGAAAATTTTATAAAATATATAATTTTTCTTTTATCATAATAAAAGATTACTTTGATAATATTATATCCGTTGATCTCATTCCATCTTACCGTAATTCGTGCAGTTAAAAGAACCTACGTTCTATCTTTACCTATTGGCTGTATGCTGTATTCTAAATTCGATATATATCTATCGATAAGCACATCGATTGTATTCGATAATTACTATTTTAAAACATAGTTTATTAAACAAAATATTATTATTTACATAATTTTTTGTTTTTATAATTTTAATTATTAATAACTTTCAATATCTTTCAATAAATTAAATTGACTTGTATATTACATATTTTCGATATCTAGAATCGATTTCAAAATTTATCTCGCATTTTCATAAATATTCTGTATTTATACTTAATTAATAAAAAATAATATAAAATAATTTATTATAAATATAGCAAATTTTTTACTGAAAATAAATTAAAATACAAAAAATATTGTTTATTTAATTATTTTATTCTAGTTATTTCTATTTATTATAAAAAAAAATATTGAGATATGTATTAGAATAAAAAAGATAAAAATTCATTATATTTTCTAATAATTTTATCTTTATTTATTGAAGAAATGTGTTTTTCAATTTTTTAAATTCTTTTTTTGTGTTTTTAAATTCTTACTATAAATTATTTTTTATTTTTATATTTATTATAAAAATACTTTTTGTATAAAATATATAATTAATTTATTTAATTTTAAAATATTTTGTTTAATAATTTATTTATTTGAAAAGATACAAATTATAATATAATGAATTTTATTCAATATAATTTACAGAATTTATATATATATTTTTTACTAAACAATAATTTCGATTTATTATAAAAATTTAATAATCTCATAACAAATATATTATACTTAATTTTTTATATTTAAATAATGTATATCCATGTAGAGTTGAACATACATATATATACTCTTAATCATTATGAGTCTTACATTTATCTTATACAAATACTGTAAATAGATATATTTAATTCATGATTATAAATATAAAATATTTAATTAATTTTTAAATTACTTTTTAATTCATTTAACAAGATAGAACCTATTACCATTTTTTCGCAATTAACACAGATTTCGAGACATTCATTACTTATAATTTTTATTGTCACTAATACCAAGGATTTCGATGCTAAAGTGTAGGCAGCAAATCTACAAAAATTAAAAGGAATAACATTGAAATATAAACAAAATTTCAATTTCATCATATTAATATGTTATTTAATAACTTTTTTAAAATTAATTTATTTGTGTAATAAAATTTTCTATTTTACCTGATTTCTTCATCATTGCTAGATATCATTGCAACATTTGCAGTTTCAAAAATTTTTTGAGAAATAGCATTCTTATTCCCTGAATATTGTACCTTTGTTACATGTTCATTCATACCCTTTAATTTGGTTTTTTCAGCTAAAAACATATTTTCTGGCAAGAGTACAGCTCTTATTATTTCTCCAATCGGAGCTTTAATAATAACTGGGCACGAATTTGTATCATCTCCAATTATAAAATCAATATTAAAATTAGCTGGTTGTGTAGAATCATTAAAATTAATTCCTAATGTAGAAGATAAATTTGAATTTATTTCTAATAGTGGTATTTTCGTAAAATCATGTATGAGCATTCCTTTTGGTAAATTCTGTAAAAAAAAACAAAATACAATTGAAAATACTTGTAAAATGTTAAAAAATAATGATTTCATTCTTATATAATATAAATTTACCTTTACTCCCATTTGTATTTCTTTAACAAGTTCATTTCCTTCATTTGAAAATGTTAATTCAATAGTAACTAAATAAGCACTTACTAAGTGTTGTGATCTAGTAAATCTGTACTCAATTTTTAAACCATGACCTGTAATGCTATTTAATAATTCAGATTTCCTTATAGGAACAAATGAAGCTGAAACTTCTCTGATATCGTTTGTAATATTCAAATTGATAGGTGTAAGAAGACCACCTGTGCTTAACGGCATAATCGGTGTCATTGGAATCACTGAAATTAACAAATAAAATTTTCAATTAATCTATAATATAAAATATATGAATAATAAATATTTCTTTTATTTTGTTTTTTATATTATTTTTATTATAATATATGATTTTTTCCTTCGCAAAATATACATCTATAATTGAGAATAATACAGTCGAAAAAATAAAATGTAAATTCACCGATATTGTATGTCAAAATGAGTTTCTATTTTCTTTATAGTATTATATTTTACCATCATCTAAATCTAAAAGGAGATCAATGTTGCTTTTTGGTTTTTCCTTTGCTTCTTCATTTAAAGTTTTATATTTTGTTTCTTTACTTTCTTGAGAATTTGTAGATGAATCTTCAGAATCTGATTCTTCACTTTCAGTTTCGCTATTTGATTCATCAGATATTTTTACAGATTTTTTTTTCTCACTATCAGTTTCAGATTTTCCAGATTCCGATATATATTCAGATGAATCACTTTCTTCATCTGAAGAATCACTTGTTGTAGTATCTGAAGACTCATTTTCATTATTCAATTCTATTAAAAAATATATTATATATTAATAAATATAATTAATAATAATTATATTATAATAATAATTATAAAATTAATAATAATTTTAATTTAAATAAATTTTAATTCTACAATTTTAATAATGTATATTTAAAAATATACCATCTGCTTGAACACTTTCTTCATCGCTGTAAAAAGGTTTCTCTTTTTCTTTTCCTTTTTTGTCTTTTTTATCTTTTCTATAATATTCATCTCTTGTATCTCTCATAGTACTATTTGAAACATCTCTTAGAGATGGGTCAGGAGCTATATCAGGGAAAGGTGGTAAAGGACGATAACCAGCACATGGCATATCCAAATAATGAGATAATGTACCTAACTGATATTCAGAATTCTTGAATCTTGATGTTA